CATACACCTTGAATGTCGTTTCTTCTCACCACGCTTTCTCCATTGCCGTCTATGAAGGTGAGGAAGAAAAATTTCTCCATTGAGGATATATTTCTTGGTGTTTTTCTCAGACAGTGAGTTTGAATACTTTTCATGTTGAGAGAATTGTTTTTGATAGGAATGGATTGGAATGGTTTTGTTTAAATAGGAGGAGGAGATAGGAAGGGGAGGTTCACGGGTTCTATTTAGTGGGTAGTTGGAACGGTGAGAGTAAAAGAGTTTCAACTCCCAAGAAGTTGAATTTTGAAAGGTTGAAGGAATCTTTTATGAAGGTTTGAAATTCTTGAAAGTTTCCGGAAAAACATGGAAATTCTCTGCTGCAGCTTCCATGTCAGCCTGTGCTTTAGTGGTGAGGACAGTCTGATCTTCAGTTGGTTTTGAGAGGATTGGTTTGTAGACTTCTGGGTCCTCATCATCAGCTTCCAACTCTGAGGGTGGAGAGGTGGTCAAGTGTTCCAGCAACAGATCTTCATTTATTTTCTACCAGACCCATTCCTCATTTAGAATTTGCTCACACAACCAGTTGATTGGCAGTCCCAAACACCTTTTGATGATCTTCTCATTCTTCAGTTGTTGATCACATTTAAGCAACTGATCTGCAGAGTTTCCAACCTTCCAAGCTCTCCAAATATAGTAGAGCTGCAAAAACTTGTTCACTACATCAGTTTGAGCTTGTGATGAAGGAGATGGAAGACTCTGGTCTTGAGGGGTTTCTTCATCAAGCTGTTGAGGACTGTCCTGAGGTTGATCATGTACTGAGATATCCGGATTGGTATTTCCAGATGTAGAGGGAGGTGAGATTCTTCTCTTTTTCTTCTTCTAAAGTTCTCCTTGAGCAGAGACTTCTTCTTCATCCAAATTAACCACTGCAAGGGTGTGTGGTTCTTCAGTACTAGGGGAGGAAGATACCACTTGCTTCCTCTTTGATGACTTCTTCAGACTCACAATCAGGACATTGTCTGAAGAACCTTCATCTTCTGCAGTAGAGCTTGCTCTGTTTTCTCCCTTGGATGACAGATAGTACAACCAATATCTGGCATCATACTTCTTGCCTTAAGAGGCAACTCCCAAGGACTCCAGAATATGTCCAAGGTATAAACCTTGACAAAGATACTTCTGCTTGGGCTTCCCTAAGTGCTTGGAAACTGAATTGAAGAAGTGTTTAGCCCAATTTACCTTGGTCTTGGTAATGAGGGCGTTGATGATGAAGGCCCTTTCTTGAGTTATGTCATCTGCATGTCCTCCACTTCCACATTCCAGGCATGCAATGACCAACTCCAAGACCAATTTGTAGTCATTCTTCAAGTCTGCCTTCTTTTCTGGGCCAGAGGGGATTTGTCCAGAAATCCCAATTGTGTTCCAGTCCAGATTCTTGGACGAGAGCTTCCCAATGTCAATTCCAGAGTTGGGAAGATGGAGCTTCTTCTTCAATTTCTTCTGTGAGATCTTCACGGTGGTGCCTCCAACAGTAGATTCAATGACTTGAATTGATCTCTGTGGATTCTTCTTGGATTGTATGGTTGTGACTCTTCCATTCCTGTAGAATTCAAGAACTTCTTCTTCGTACTTGAAACGAATTTGCATATGAAGAAATTCAGAGAGTTCTTGTGCTGCAATCATCTCCAAAAACGCTTCGTAGAAGGCAGGTGAAGAGCATTTGGCTTCCAATTTCTTGAAATGAACATTCGCTCCTACAACCTTAATTTTTGTTGAGTTTTGGGAGAGAGAATCTGAAGAAATTAGGGTTCTTCTAAGATTTCTCGCTGGGAAGACGACGAAGATTTGAGTGGATTGAGTGGGCATTTGAGATCTGAATATAGTGGCGATTGGGTTTAATTTTGGGCGATTTATGCGGCTGGTGGCGATTGAGTTTTCAACTGTTCCCAAGGCCGCGTGCCTACCCATTACTTTATCAGACGTGGTAAGTGGGCTGCCACGTGTACCGCACTCAGTCTAATTGAATTAGACCAATTTTGTGAAGCAATTCGGAAAACCTGGCTTCACTTAGTGGTTTAGTGAAGATATCCGCCAATTGTTCTTCAGTTGAGATATACTCAATTCTAATATCCTTCTTTTCCACATGATCTCTGATGAAGTGATGCTTGACATCAATGTGCTTAGTGCGAGAATGATGCAATGGATTTTGTGAGATGGCTATAGCACTTTGATTGTCATAGAATATAGTCACTTCCTTTATTTTGACTCCATAATCCAGTAGTTGTTGCTTTAACCACAAAATTTGAGCACAACAACTACCAGCAGCAATGTACTCTACTTCTGCTGTAGATGTAGAGATGGAGTTTTGTTTCTTACTGAACCAAGAAACAAGATTTCCGCCAATGAATTGACAAGTTCCAGATGTACTCTTCCTGTCAACTTTGCATCCGGCAAAGTCAAAATTTGAGTATCCCACTAACTCAAATGAGATGCTCTTAGCATACCATAAACCCATATTTTGAGTTCCTTTGAGGTATCTAAGAATCCTTTTGGCTGCTATTAAATGGCTTTCCTTTGGCTTTGATTGAAATCTAGCACAAACACCTACTGCATATGAGATATCTGGATGGCTTGCAGTAAGGTAGAGTAGAGATCCAACTATTCCTCTTTAGAGAGTTTGATCAACATCCTTTCCATCTACATCCATGTCAAGTTTGGTGGATGTAGTCATGGGGACAGAAACGGATGACTTCTGATCAACTTTGAACTTCTTGATAAGATCCCTTGTGTACTTGGCTTGGTTGATGAGAGTCCCTTCACTTCTCTACTTGATTTGAAGACTAAGGAAGTAGTTGAGTTCCCCGATCATGCTCATCTCAAATTTTCCTTGCATGAGGGTTGAGAACTTGGTGCAAAGAGCTTCCTTAGTTGAGCCAAATATGATATCATCCACATAGATTTGGACCAATAGGAGATCTTCTCCATCTTGAAGTTTGAACAAGGTCTTGTCAATGACTCCTTTGATAAATCCATTGTCTATTAGGAATTGAGACAATGTATCATAACAAGCTCTTGGTGCTTGTTTGAGTCCATACATCGCCTTTTTGAGTCTATACACTTGATCGACTTTAGTGTGTAACTCAAATCCTGGAGGTTGTTCCACATAAACTTCTTCCTCTAGGTTTCCGTTGAGAAATGCACTTTTGACATCCATTTGATAGACTTTGAAGTCCTTACGAGCAGCAAAGGCTAGAAATAGAATTAAAGCTTCAAGTCTAGCAACTGGAGCGAAGGTTTCATCAAAATCTATACCTTCTTCTTGACAATAACTGAAAGTCGGTTTACACCCTAAAAGGAGGGTGAATTAGGGTGTTTGCAAATTTTTCGTAGAAAACAAAAACTTATGCGCAAAGTAGTAGCGGAAAAAGAGCAAGAAAGATATAAAGGATAAAAATACGACACTGGCGATTTTATACTGGTTCGGGAACTCCCTACTCCAGTACCTCGAGGCTCCTCCTCAAGGATTTAACCTCCACTAACTTGTTTGGCTTCACTAAGAAGACTCAAACGAGGTTTGGCAAACAACCCTTGCCAATAAGCAAATGAGAATTTACTACGGCTATCTCAACCGTTTACAACCGAAGATTTTAAGGCTATCTTCAACCTTACAATGAGGATTTAGAGGCTATCCACACCTTTTACAAATCAATAAAAAGATTGGTGTTGCTTCTCTACCAAAATGATAACAAATGTAAGTTGGGTAGGAGAAGAACAAAAGATTAAATCAACAACAACAAAAGCCTATAGGCAAGATATAAAATAATGAAGCACAAATGCCCTTGTGTGTGAGTGTATAAAAAGATGAAAGCTTTTTACTCAAAAGAGTAAGAAAAATAAGAACAAAGCTTTAAGAACACTCAAGAACAGAGAAAGAGGCTTTAGAATTAATTGGGAAGTTGTTGTTAATAAAATGAGGCTTAAAGGGGTTTATATAGGAGTTTGGAATGTTAAAATTTGAGTTTTTAACGTTAAATGTCGTTAGGAAGTGATTAGGGGTGATTTGAATTTAAATTGGCAATTTGCTACAGTGCTGCCAACGGATCCGGTACCCTTCACGGTAGGGTCAGTACCGTCCGGTACCTAGGTACCGTGACCCACGGTATAGCCTACCGTTTGGGGGTACCGTGTATGCCTAAAGTTTGGTTCGCCTATGGGGGTACCTGGTTAGGACGGGGGTAACCATCCGTCTCAGCCTTCCGTCCGGTACCTAGGTACCGTTACACGGTAGGGGGTACCGTGTACCTCTTCAGTGAAACGTGCCACGGTACGTTCACTTGGCTACCGGTGGTACCCTGGTGCCGTGTACACGGTAGCCTTGTACCGTTAGGCCAGTGTAAATTTTCCAAAACTCATTTTTCGTGTTCCGTTTTCAAAATGACCCTAACTAAGAATATATTTGACATTTAAAATTAATTTTTGAGTGAAAGGGCATAAGTAAATCATTAAAATATATTATTACCTTTACACAATAATTTCTAAACTCGTAGGAGTATATCTCGGTGATGCTAAACAAGCTAATAGAGGTTTGGCGTTTGGTTTCTTCTTGTAAATGATGTTAGTAACATTTGGATGACTTATTTGGCACATCAAAACGGTTACGGGGTACGGCATTCAAGGCCAACAATCTCCCCCTTTTTGATGTTGACAAATAAGGCTTTCGAATATAATAATCAAACGCACAAACATATCGTGAAAAACATATTTTGATTTTAAAAACTCCCCCTAAGTTGATGCACGTGGTATTGTGACAAAAAACTCCCCCTAAATGTATGCATATGAAAGCCTAATATTTCTCCCCCTTTTGGCAATATTCAAAAAGGCGGGGTACCAAAAACACGAGTTTCAACACATAGGCATTCATCATGGCAACAATTTTAAGCATTCAAGTATAAGCATCAAATCATAAGCATAATCATAACAAAGTTTGAAACATAAACAGGACAAAGAGTTTTAAAACTTAGGCAAAATACATAATGTTTGATCAATATTGTCAAATACTCAACACTTAGCGGCGTTTAGAAGCACGATCCTCGTTTTGCTTTTGGCGATTCTCACGGTCCTCCATCTTCTTCATCCGATCCGAGAGGTCATCGAGGCTTTCTTGAAGTTTCCTCATCGGAGCCACTACGGTCTTGAGGATGAATTTCTTGAACTTCTTAAAGGGATTTTTGGAAGTTGAAGCCATGTGAGAGTGACGATGCATGAGAGAGGCCGAGGAAGCATGAGACGCCGGCTTTGAGCGTTTGACCCGAGGAGCACGAACGGGGACTTCCGTGTTGGCATTTTCTTCGGCTTCGGCTTGGGGTGCTCGTGAAGTGGAAGGCAAAGATGACATGGAATGCCGAGGACCATACTCCGCTCGTGTCGCCTCATCAATATTTTGGAACTCTTTCTTCATGTAGTACTCCGCTCCAATATTTACGAGGCCACTATAGCCAAGGCACTCCGCATCAAGATAGCGGACACGGGAAGGGCGCACCTCAAGAATTCCCCTTTTGGAAAAGATGTGGGTAAGTAGTATGCCATAGGGTTTGTTTAGGCGACCGGAGCATTCGTGCATGTGTTTAAGGATGATGGTAGGGAGAGTGCATTCATAAACCCCGACTTGTTTATCTTTGTTAAGGACTGGGATGACATTTTCTTTGAGGATTTTGAGGAGGATGAATCTATTTGCAGGTAAGTCTTGGACATTTGGCCTACGAATAAAGTAGTGTGGGTCCTCAAAGACATGGTCAAGGGCAATGTTATTTAGCACTCGGAGGCAAGAATCGGAGTTAAAATCTCGTGAGTCGGCAATCCACCCCTTTTTGCAATAGCTGGAGACTCCTTGGCGCCCTAGGTGAAACCATTCAGAAAGATTTTGGGTGTTGAATCCGAAGGTTTTGCCGGCTACAATTGTGGTAATGGAAGGGTCTTGTGGATGATATTTCAACGAAGAATAGAATTGATGAACAAGTTCCGGGTAAATGGGGGCTTGGAGTTGAAGAAAGAAACTCCAACCTTGTTCTTGAATAAGTTCAAGAACGGGAACCGGGATGTCATCTTGTTTAAGGGTTCTTCCCTCGATGATATGTGGGTCGGCGTAAGCCTTGAACCCAGCTTGAGCATCAACTTGATAATTGGAAACAATTTCACTCATTTTGGGAGAAAATTGAGAAGATAATGACTTTTGGGCGAAAAGAGTAAGAATTGATACCAAATGGATGGATTGAAGATAATACATGAAGAATTGAATCTAATTGATTATGAAAATGATGAAATTGGAATGAAAATACCTTGGATTGAAGGACGGTATAGAGAGACGGGAGGAGACGCCGGGAGAGAGAGGTCGCCGCAACTGATTGAAATGGTGCTGGTCTAGGGTTTTTAAAATAGTTTGACTTGTAGCGACGGTCGGTACCTAGGTACCGTGTTAACGGTACCTTGGTACCGTGTATACGGTACGCCATACTGTGTCCAGCTACCGTGCAGCTTTAAAATCCAATTCTTCTCTGGCGGCACCTATTTAGGACGGGACCTGGGTACCGTCAGGGGTACCGTGTCTCAGCTTCATGTTTTGTTTCGACTTCTAGACGCGTGTTTTGAGCATTTGGACGTGATCAATTTATTTTTATGATATAATGGGATAATAAGAACCTTAAATTTCACTTTAATTCAAGCATTCCCATTTCCCGACAAATTTGTAAAAATTGTTTTTCATCCAATGGTTTTGTAAAAATATCGGCACGTTGTTCAAGCGTATTTACATATTCAATTTGAATGTCTCCCTTTGCAACATGATCACGTATGAAATGATGTCTTATTTCTATATGTTTGGTTCTAGAATGCAAAACAGGATTTTTGAAATATTTATTGCACTCGAGTTGTCACAAAAAATAGGCACTTTTGAAAATTTTAAGTTAAAGTCACCTAGTGTTTGCATCATCCACAAAATTTGAGCAACACAACTACCCATAGCCACATATTCCGCTTCAGCGGTGGATAGGGCGACGAAGTGTTGTTTCTTAGATGACCAAGACACTAGTGCATGACCTATGAATTGACATGTGCCACTTGTGCTTTTCCGATCAATACGACACCCTCCAAAATCGGCATCACTAAAACCTATCAAGCTTAAATTCGTATTCTTAGGATACCATAAACCCATATTAGTCGTTCCCTTGACATAACGAATTATTCGCTTGACGGCATTTAGATGTGATTCTTTAGGTGATGATT